TAATCCTTCCCCTGAAGTACAATAAAAATAAATAAAACCAAATAAATAAATAAATAAATAAATAAAATAGGTTTACATTCAAATTAAAATAGAAATGTAATTGTTTTTTTGATTCCAGGACAACATAGATCTTTAGGACCTAACGATTCCAAGGTTAGAAGCCTAAAAATGGATGCTAGTATTTGGAGCAATGAACTCATTGAGGTGAGTCTGATATAACTGTGGTGGTAAGTAGAAGAGATTGGGGAAGAACCATGCAGTGGGGCAGCATAATTTCTTTAGGATAGTAGTAACTCTTTTAGCCTACTTCCTAACTGAGACAGTTATTTTAAACATAAAAAGTATAAGGAGCTTTAATAGTAGTGACTGCTTTTAAGGGTTTGACAGGTTTTTTGTTTTTTTTTTAAAGTTAGAATTTTCTATTTAACCCAGCATGGATAAATTATAAGAAGTGTCAATGAAGACATTTGGCAGAATTTATTATTTTCTTTCTTGTCCGCACTGTGACTTTTACTGTGATTATTATGACTTGATGTCTCCGTTTTCTGGTAGTGTTACTTGGCACTCTAGACGGCATTAGCCCAACTTCTCAGGCATTTTAAATTAATCTGTCTCAGTGTGAGCTTCTAAACATATTTAATAACAGTGTTTATGCTGCAATTTACATTTCTTGCATTTCCTTTCTAATTTTTTTTACCAATATTGTGAGCAGCTAAGCTATATTCAAAATAAAAATAGTATCTCCTCTTCTGAAAGAGTCGGTCTTTCATGAGCTCATCTATATTTTTTTACTGTTATGCTTTAATTTCTGTGAGTCCATTTTCTGCAAATTCAAATATATTTTATATAGTGATACATTGTCTGATTTTTTGACAATTCAGCTTTTTATAGTCATTGGAAACAAAAGAGCAAATGACTTTTGGGCTGGTAATCTTCACAAGGATGAAGAGTTACACATGGACTCTCCAGTAGAAAAGAGAAAAAACTTTATCACTCAGAAGTATAAAGAAGGAAGATTCAGAAAAACCCTTTTGGCATCTCTCACAAAAGAAGAATTAAATAAGGTATTCGATGAAATGTACCAACACAATTGGATTTTATTTTATTTTTTTAAATATGTGCCAGGGTTCTTGGTAAGAAGTGAAATCTTATATTATTTGATAAAATTATTATTTAATTGTATTTTATTTCTGCTTATGAGATTGCATTGGTGGTTTTCTCATTGCTTCCCTTAAGGATCCAGTATAATAGAGGAGTAACTCTTCCTCCGTTACTGAAGTTTCCAGCTAACTCAGGCCTACCTCATTATTCTTAAAACGTCAACAATGTTCCCTGTTTTAAGTACAGGTTACTAAACATAACAAGTTCCTGTGTTACTCACTTGGTGCCATCAGAATTGACAACATTTCCTCAATTTATTGTTACCAACTGTGATTTGCTTAGTGGTGTTGAAGTGTCATGCCTGAGTCATTCCAGATCTTGTGCCTATTTCATGCTACCCATTTAGTCTTCACCCTGTTGGTAAAAGGTTTTGTTACCTTCCCCACCTCCCCCCGCCCCCATACACATACTTTCTTTTCTTAAATTGCTTTTTCAATCCCTTGTGTAGATATATTTAAGCGTATGTATGTATATCTATGTATAGATATATTTAAGCATATACTTCATATATCTATATTTTTAATGCTTTGAAGATGTATTTTTACATGGTTCTCAATTCTTTAGTATTTTTTTAATGGTAATGCTTGTTAGATAAGGATCCCCAGGTAGTAGCATTATGGTGAACATTTTAGAAAAGAAAGAAAGACCATTTTCCCTACTTCTCTAGAAATTGCAAAATATATAAAATTGATTTACATTCTATTCTATGGGTTTAGTTCCCCCTACAATGTTTTTTCTTCCTTGTACATGTTTGGTATTAATAAACAGAGGTCACCAGCCAATTTTAAAGTAATAGCACACAGTGAACTGAGGATTTGGGATGGTTAGCTAAAGTGGGGAGGAGAACCAGAGGGATTGAATAGGGTGGGGGGATTATACGGTTAAACGTAGGTTATTGTTAAGGCACTTAACAATATTAACTTATTTTGGTTAGTGTTTTCATGGGTGCTAATTACATTATTAAAGAACTGACCAGTTATACCACACATGTATGGAATAATGATAAGAGGGTATCATAAACGAAGGATTATGGTTAACGTAATTCTTTATACCAGAAATCAATAAATAATAAGTGTATGTGTGGTAAGTTATGGATCTGGAGAGGGAATTGGAGAGATTGGAGAACCAGGACATATCTTCCCCCAGTTGCTTCTCCGTCTTTGATGGTGATGGGAATCTTGTCAGCGGATAAATATTGTTGTCCCCAAGTGAAGTCCTGTCTGCTACACTACACTGTTTACATGAGCTCAGCTGTTGAGTTTTAGATTAAGTGCTAGCAGTTGCATTCCTCCTGAGAATATTTTAGGGAAGTCTATTCATTGGGACTTACCTCCACATCGGGCTTCTTAAAAGTGGCACTCTTAGTATCAGTGAACAATTCTAACCAAAAAAAATAAAAAAAAAAAAATAGTTGTTTATTAAGCAACTGGTGGCACACTCCTGGTGGTGCAGTGGTTAAGCAGTTGGCTGCTAACTGAAAGATCAGCAGTTCGAACCCACCAGCTGTTCCATGGGAGAAAGATGTGTTAGTCTGCTTCTGTAAAGATTACAGCCTTGAAAACCCTGAGGCACTTTTACTCTATTCTACTCTGTCCTATAGGGTTGATTCCTGTGAGTCGGAATCAACTCTACAGCAGTGGGCTTGGTTTGGTGGGTTTATTATACACTTACTACTTGCTGAGTCCTTTTTTAGGTGCTGGGGATAAAATTGTGGAAAAATATGGGTGTGGTTTTTTTAAATTTATGAGCACAGGCAAGTAGGGTAACTGATCATTTAAAAGCTACATGTTGCCGTCAAGTTGATTCTGACCCATCGCAACCCTATAGAACAGGGTAGAACTGCCCCATAGGGTTTTCAAGGCTGTAATCTTTAGGGAAACAGACTGCCACATCTTTCTCCCATGGAACGACTGGTGAGTTCAAACTGCCAACCTTTCTGTTAGGAGCCAAGCATGTAACCACTGTGCCACAAGGGCTCCTTAGCAGTTAGATATCCCAAAATATAAAGTATCAAGTTCAGTGTGTTTTGAAGGAAAAGAGGGAGACGAGAGAGAATTAAGAAAACATATGCTGTTAAATTGAGGATCAGAGACTGTTAGGGTGGAGGAAAAGTTAGCTGTTATTTTATGCAACACACTCATTTGGAAGCGAGGAAAACTAAGACCCAGTGCAGAGGAGAAATTTACCAAAGATCACCTAGCAAATTAGTGCAGTGAGATACAAGGATTCAGGTTCTTGATTGTGAGTTAAAGGGAATTCTGGAGGTCAGCTGGACTACGGTGGAAAAGATTAATAGTTTTTTACCAGCTGACCCTCCCAGTCTGAACTGTGAAGGACCGTGTCATACAACTTGTAGACTGTTCACTGTGAGGTGTCCATGGGGACAGTTAATGAGCGATTGTCCCGAGGTTGTGTCACAGAATTTTGGTGTACTGTGGCAGGAAGGAAATAAAGTGGTGAGCCCAAGGTTAAAGAGTCAGATGGAATCAGGGTGCCAAAAGCAGAGAGTTTAGAAGTAAATGCAAAGCTGATAAAGTGAGGTTTGGGGATGCACGTAAGGTGGAAAGAAAGAGAATGAGAAAAGGTGTGAAGTCATCTTACTTCAAGGCAAAAGGAAAAAAGAAGTTAGATTCCTGCAGTCCCTTCTGTTTGTACAAGGATGATAAATACCAGAAGTAAATAATGCATCTTGCCTGCCTTTCCTCTTTGTGCACTCATGCCCTGGCACCCCTTCAAAAAAAAAGGGAGAGATCTTGAATTCGCTTTGTATTCATTTTTCAGATTCCTAAAACACAACAGTAATGTAAACATTCTACAGATCAGGATTAGGTAGGACATAGACACACACACGCATAAGCACATACATAAACATACACACACTTACATGTTAGCCTTCACGTGACAAAACATTACTGAATATTTCTTTATTATATTTGAAATGTTTTTAGTTTTCTAAACATCATCCACCGCCATAGTACGTGAACATAAAAATATCTTCAAAAGCAAACATGATGGATTGGAGGGCTTGGAACATCACACTAACAAAACAACGAATTGAGACTTAGAGGGCATGGCTGTTATTTAAATCCATAGTGAACGGGCCTTTTGTGCCTATTGCCTAATTTAGGGCACAATTATTATTAGCCTTCTTGGGAAAAAAAGAAATACACACTTCATCTCATAAATGAATTATCAGACTTTCTCTCGTTTTAAATATCTAGAATCATATTTTCTTCCCTTAAAAAGTGTATCTTCTTTTAACTACCAGGCTCTGTGTGCTGCTGTAGTGAAACCAGATGTTCTGGAAACAATGGCTTTGCTGTTCAGTGGAGCAGATGTTATGTGTGCAACAGGAGACCCCGTGCATAGCACCCCCTATCTGCTGGCCAAGAAGGCTGGGCAGAGTCTGCAAATGGAATTTCTCTACCATAACAAATTCTCAGGTTAGCTGCTGTCTTTGCACTCGTTCCGTGTCATCTGGTATATTCCTAAAAGGATGAATGCTCAAATATGTTTATTTCTCAAATTAAAAAAAAAACGGCAGGAAGAAAAACTGTCACCAAAAAAGATAGAAGATGCTTAAGATTAATTATTTTTTACTTTATTTCAAGTAAGTTTAGTAACTAAATCTTATATATTTCTGCAAGCTTATAAATGGAAGGTTAAAATAGTTAATCTTGTGTAATTTTTTGCACCAAAATGAAATCCAATTTTTGTATTAATAGCATGACTTAAATGCTTTTGTGCAAAGTAAAATAAATATATATTTATTCTGTGGTGTATTTCATGTAGTTTGTCTTCTGTTCAGAACTCACGTGTGTATTTACATGCAAAAGGAAAAATTGTATTTTAGATTTCATATTTATTATTTCTTTAATTTTTTCAGATTTCCCACAACATGATATTCCTTCTGAGGGTGGATTAAGTCATGAATTCGTCCAGTCCACCTTTCTTTGTGACTTTTTGTACCAAGCTCCTTCTGCTGCTTCTAAACTCTATTCAGAGAAAAAACTGCTTGAAGGTATCTTTTCTGGTACTTTTAGATTTTGTTATCTGATAAAACTTTATTCCATTATCAGTACAATTTTAAATTTTGATTTTTTTCCCTTAAGATGTTAGATTTGATCTTGCAGTAGAGAAATATTTTTTGAGAATTTATAAATGCTTCCAGGCACAGATAACTATTTCATGCAGTGCAGCTGGGATTTACCACTGGGTTGGAATCCTGAGCGAATCCTCAACGAAATTTCCTGATGTCTACCTTAGGACCAAGGAACCTAGTGGCACAACAGTTAAGCACGTGGCTGCTAACCGAAATGTTGGCAGTTTGAACTCATCCAGTAGCTCCATGGGAGAAAGATCTAGCGATCTGCTTCCATAAATATTATAGCCAAGAACACCCTATGGGGCAGTTCTCCTCTGTCACATTGAGTCACTATGAGTCAAAATCAATTCAGTGGCACCCAACAACAACACCTTAGAGCCAGCTGATTCTGTTTCAGATTTTAAGGGTTATTCCAAAGAACTGTGAAACCCAGCTCTCTCCCTTAGAGATGGACACCCCAGCTGAGGAGATAATATAGATAAATGGGATCATGTAGGAAGAAATGACAAGTTTTCAGTATATATTTTATCAGAGTACTGAGTGAAATCAAGTGGTTCAGTTTGTTCTAAGTGTGTGTTTTAAGTGAAAAAAAAATGTTAAGCATGATTTTAAAAAAATGGGAATTAATTTGATTTAAAAACATATTTTAAATTTGGGGCAGTATATGAACAGACTGATGGTGGGCATTTATCCGTCTGTCCATCCACCTCCATGTGACAGGCACGTGTTAGGTATTAGGGATATAAAAATGAATGAGACACATAGCTCATGCTTATGTTACATCCATTGTCATTGATTTGAGAAATATAGGTGAGGAAACGTTTCTATTGGAACATAGAGTGTGTAGACAGAGATTGAGCTATTACAAGCTAATTGATGGTGGTGATTGAGAGTTAAATTCAGTAGTATGGCATTAATTCCCTAGGGAGTATATTGTTACTGTTGTCATGTGCCAGTGAGTTGATTTCAACTCATAGAAACGCTATAGGACAAAGTAGGGTTTTCAAGGCTGATTTTTTGCAACAAGATCACCAGGCCTTTCTTCCAAGGCACCTCTTGGTGGACTCAAACCTCTAACCTTTCAGTTAGCAGCCAAGTACATTAGTCACTTGCACTACCCAGGGACTCCACTTAATTTATACAAAGGTGAAATATACAAAGATAAAATAAGGAATTTTGAATATAGCATTTTCTTCCTAAAGCTTTTCAAGCATTCTGTAAACTAAAAATAAGCTTTTTTTTTTTTTTTTTTTTTACCATTGAGGTTGTAATTTTTATATACCTATCAGTTTGCTGTATATTTTCTTGAAATAAAATGTTTTTCTTAATCACTTGAGGTCTAAGTTAATGTATTAAACTGTTGTAATGAAATCATTCTCACATTTTACTTTTATAAATCAACAATGGATGCTTTTGTTAAAATTTATTTCCAAAAAACAGAACTGGTGCATTCTCTGTATATGTAATTTAATTAGAAATGTGTTCTCATTTTGGAACACGGTTTTTCAAGTAATATGAAATTAAGCTTTTGTATTTTGGGTATATGCAGCACAGCAGAAATGATTTCATTTGAAAAGAATCTCTTGGCAAGGTATTTTTTGATTGTCTTCATTTCTTCCATCTAGTTTATCATCAGGTTCTATCATTTCAAACTCAAAATAGATCTTGAATCATTTGGTACTCTCCACCTTCACCGATATCACACTAGCCCCAGTCACCATTGTCTCTTGCCTATACAGTGATAGATATGCTCCTGATTTACATCTGCCTTAGCTCTCCTCCAAACTGCTCCACAAATCTGCTTTAATGTTCTTTGAAAACATGTAGTTCCATTGCTCAAAGATGTTCAGTGGCTTTCCATTCCAGAATATAGCCCTGTTCCTCACTGTGGCCTAAAAGACCTTTTCATACCTCTCCCACTTCATCTCATGTCACTTATCTCTTACACACATGTGCCTGGCCACACTAGTTTCTTCTCTGTTCTGGGAATCTGACATGTTCTTTTTTGCCTCTTCTGGACCTTTGCACTTTCCACCTGCTCTGCAAGAAGGGCACTTCCCCCAGTCTAGCTCCTTCTCACCTCTCAGAGATGAATTCTCATGCTGCCTACTTAGACAGGCCTCTCTGACACCCTGCTAAAGTGTGCTCCCACTGCCAGCTTTTCCATTTTATAGGATGCTATTTATTTCTGTCATCACTCTTATGCTTAATATGCTTGAAGATGATCCCTCCTTTGTTTGTTTTTCCCTCCCACTGGAGTGCAAGCCCAATGAGGTGTCAACATTTTTTGGCTTGTTCAGCGTTATCAAATCTTTGTTGCCTTAAACAGTAGCGATACCTACTAGCCATGTTATAAATACCTGTTGAATGAATGACTGTTTCTCTAATCAGATTACCACGATGTAAAAGTGCAATCCCATGTTAGTTGTTTTTGATCTGAGCATAAAAGGATATGATTGCTTGGACAAAGCATTCCCTTGGCTCAGAAAGAGACTGCTTAACAATGAAGAAAAAGCTAAACTACCAAGAAGCAAAGTTTGGGATTTGCTTCTTTTTCCCCCAAGATTCTGCAGTGTTGTTACTGCTATTGAGCATCAGGTTTACAGAAAGAAATGAATCATTTGGAAAGATTTAGAGATTAAGGTGTGGCTGTCACCTTTGCCTCTGAAAGGCCGGCACCCAGACTGGACTAGTCCATCAGCTCTTGTCAGGACCGCCATACAGCAAAACGATTAAGAATAAAGAAAAAAGCCTGAGAATGAAATGCACACAGTCCTTCAGAGCGTTACAGAGGCTTCAGATTGTCAGTTTAGGTTTTCAGGATTTGAAATTCTTCTAGCCTCTGGTTATGAAGACTGATCTATATTTTTCTTTTTTTTTCTCAATTTAATGTTCACAAAAAGAAAGATTGATAGCTCTTATTAAACCTAAGTACAGAGCGGAATAATAGCATCCTGGTTTTGTCCTGTTTTTTCCACCTCAGCCACATTTTTTTCCCTTGGTATCCTTACCTTGATTAGTTTACACAGTGTTTGATTTTTAAAAAGAAAGGGGTTGATGTAGTTTACTAAAAACTGCATTTCTCCTGTTTATACTTAATTTTATAGGTTAGCGCTGAGAAGTTTTGAAGATCTTTTGTTGTATGAATGCCTGACTTGTACAGTTTAAACATGTTTTTCCAAAGCTAAAACACATTTATTTGAAATGAAAAGGAATCCTAATGTGTATTCCTATTATCAGTGGACTCTGAATTCTGTCAGCCAGTTATGTACCTTTTAGAGGTTAGAAATCTCTTCATCTGAAAACAATGGTTTAATAAAATAATTTAACCTTAACTATCTCAGCTTTATTGTGCACATGTGTTAAAAGGTATGACCTCTTCTTTACCCTAATACATTTTTTAAATGGACATACATACTTCAAACATATAATAGGCACAGAGGCAGCATGAGTAGTTAAAAGTATAGCTTCTGAAGGCCAACTGCCTGTGTTTCACTTCCCCTTTGATGCCAAGTGCTTGTGTGATTTGGGAACTGCTCTGTGCTCGTAGAAAGGGTGTAAGGAAAGGGTGGGAATAATAATAGAACGGATCTACTAGGGTTACTGTGAGGATTCAATGAGTTACTGTATATAAAGTGCTTAGGAGAGAGCTTAGCACCTAAAAATGATGATGATTGGGTGGAGGAAGAAGTAGAGGGGTTATACGGATGTACAGGTGTTTGTGGTTTCAGTTAGCTTTTGTGATTGGTTATGTCCTGTTGTTAGTTGCCATCGAGTTGATTCCAGCTCATGGTGACCCATGTGTGCAGAGTAGAACTCTTCCACAGGGTTTTCAAGGCTGTGACCTTTCCAAAGCAGATCACCATGACTGTTTTCTGAGGCACCTCTGGGTGGGTTCGAACTGCCAACCTTTCAGTTAGTAGTTGAGTGCTTAACCATTTGTGCCAACCAGAGACTCCGTAGGTATGTCCTACAAGCAAGCTATAGTTGACAACCAAGTTGCCTAACTGTAGACTGGAAAATTAGAATTTAAACAGGTCATCTCTGGAATTCTTCACCTGTGCTTGGGTAAGTCCAGAGTAGTGTTTTCCTTCCCAAATCTAAGCATCAAGATTAGAAAGAAAGAATGAGCAATTCCTGCCCCCTCTGGTCATCCAACCCCTTGACTCCTTATACAAACTCCAATATATTAACCAGCTGAGTCCTGAAAGTTACCCATTTTGGATGTCTCCTGATGTGTGATTAACAGTAAGACTTCTGTAGCAGAGAGAGGGTGTCCTATAGGGTACTGACATTTCTTAAAGTCAGGAGTACATCTGAATTGGCCTAAGCAGACCAATATAACTCAACATGATTTTGTTAAAGCTGTTTGTTTCTTCCAAAATGAATAATAATGTCAAGATTTTCTGTCACATCTTTTGTTATTCTAAGTCCTCAAAGATAATATCTGTGCCTGCTTTGTCTGACATCTGGCCCATTTTCACTTACAAAAGTAAGGCTAATAAATGGTTATAGTGATGATAATGCTACAGGAGTAAATTTCCTCAAGCCCTTATTTCTAACTTAAAATGAGTTTGTACTCACTTTTTAAAAGAGATCTGTCATTTGTGTCCCATTAGAATTTGCATAAATAGATTCTGCATTCATATTTATTTTATATATTATTCATTTGGCACATTTTGTTAAAGACTTTCCAGTGGCTCCTACTTGTCTATTGAAAAAGGAACAAACTCCTGAACACCTGTCGTGGAAGACTCTTGGGACCCATCCTCTGCTGTGACCCTACATACAGTATTGTTTCCCAAGTCCTAACTTCTATGTAATCTGACTCTCCAGCAAAATCTATGTTTCTGCAGTTTCTCTTTTCTATGACTTCCCTCACACTCTTCTTTGCCAGAACTGCTGAATAGCGTAGCTCTGGATGCATTTTTTGCTACCTTAGAAACATGTCTTTCCAGTCATAAAGAACTATTTCAAAAGCTGTTTTTTCTGTGAAGTCTTTTTTTATCACTCCAGTTTGAGGGGGAGTTCCTCCATGAATGCTTTCAACCTCAAAGGGACCAAAGTAAGAACATCACATATATATCCCCTTTCATTGCACTACAAGCTGCCCGAGGACAGAAGTGTGGAATTCCTAATCAGTGCCCCTTGCTCTAACCATCTAGCCTGCTGCCCTGTACATCATTCATGGCTATTTATGTACTGAATGAATGTACACTTGTGCTTTGTTTTTTATGAAGATTATTCTAAACATCTGACTGCATTGTTTTGAAATTGTTTCATATCCTCCTTTGATTAGTACTTTGACTTTTCCTTTTCTTATATCTTAGACATCTGTAATGAATATTCATTTAAAATATGGCTTTATAAAACTCTTCAGGGTATATACTATGACACAGGATTTGAAGACTTTGGGATATATCACCTTCCAGTAGGAAAAAGAATGGGTCTCTGCTAGGTTTCTATTCCAGTGCCCATAAAGAATTTCTATGAGTTGTTTGTTTCTGCCAGGTACGATTTGGCTTTTCATTTGACAGTCAGGTTCTCAGAATATAGTGACCATACAGTTCTCAGAATTTCTACCTATTGTTTGTTTCTCCTCTTGATTGTTTTTGAGGCCAAATATCATCTTGTTCTCTCTTCTGCTGCTCACCACTACATCCACCTAAGATTCTAAAGATATGGTAAAGGAAAAGTCAAGCAGTGATTTTAATATTTTTTTCTTTTAACTTCTTAATTACCTTAACATAATTTCATATTTACAGAAAAGCTGCAAGAATAGTGCAAATAATTGCCATATACCACATTTTTGCAAAGAATGTGCTCAACGTAAATAACGTGCCCACACATACAACACACATGGCACGCCCAGGGAAATAACATGCCAGGGGGTTGTGCGGTTGGCCAAAAATATACAATGCGTGTGTTATTTGCATAAAATACAATACCTTTCACCCAGACTTCCCAAATATTATCATTTTTAATATTATCCTCTCTCTGTTTCTGTGTGTGTATATAAATATATACATACATATATATGTTTATGTATATATCAACATAAAAACATTTTTTTCTCAGAATCAAGAGTTGCATACTTGATGTACTGTGCCTCTAAGTACCTTAAAAAGAAAGGCATTCCCTAGCTTAATCACAGTACAGATATCAAAATTAGGAAATTATATAATCTACAAACTTTATCCGTTAGATCTAATCTACAGAATTGTTTCATTAGCCTTAACATCTATGGATCTCATGTATTTCTTAATGCAAAATCAAGGGTTACTTATATTGTTTAATTCTTGGCAGTACCTAAGAGTTTGAGAGTTGTTGGAATCTCTAGACTCCAGATACAAGATGATGAAGCGATGATTCAAAAATAATTCACTTTATCTACAGAACCTGAAAATTTCAGACAAATTTTTCTTTCCTAGTAATTTTATTTGAAAAATTTGAGTTAAATTTTTTACCTCACTTGTTCAAAGATTTCTTTGGCAGAGTATAGTTAGGCCTTATATGACAACATTTAAAACCTTTACAAAATAGTACAAATCTTTCATAATTTAATTTTCACATTAGTATCTTTCATTGGAAATGCATAATACATGGGATAATTTTTTTTTCATGCTCAATTAGAAAGCCTTCTTGTTTTATTATTTCTTTTAAGTAGGGAATCAAACAGGAGTGATGAACATTAACCATAATTTTGGCAATGCAAAAGGAGATCACGTAAAGTCATTCTTTCTGGTTGGTGTTCATCCCTTTTGTTTGAAATCTTTCACATTTATATTTTCCATATATAAGGATTAGTCAAGAAGTAAGTTAAATACAAGTGATAGCATAGACACTTTTGGAATGTGTAATAATGTAAAAACAAGTAGAAGACTTAACTAATAAATAGATATATTTTATTTGTACACAATTTTTAGAATCCAGTAGGACTAAAACAAGTCTGACGAGATCCATGACTAAAATGGCACCTTCTTCCCACCCCTGCTGTCTACCATTAAACTCTCTTGTAACAAATCCATATTTCATCTTTTTAGAAACTACTCAGGATTTTATTTTCAAATTTTATTTGAATAGGATAAAACGCACATACCCCTTAGGATATTTCCTAACTTCCATTGTAAGTTCTCAGTTTAAATAATAGCAATTAATAACTTCCTCTTTTAGTATCTCCATAGTCAGTAACAATCATCAATCAAATCTCCGTTTAATTGGTTAATTTTTTTTTCATATTTATTTTCATGGATATATTGAGTGGGATGTTCTAGTAACCTATAAATTTCCATACTTTCTAAAATGATATTCTCATTTTATAGTTGATGTATTAGCAGAATTTGGTTCAATATACTCAATAAATTATTAATTCCATATTTGCATTTTTTTGCTTGGGCTTTATTTTTATATGCATGTCTTTGACCTTTTTGTTTTTCCTTGTTTATCAGCCCTGGACTGTTTCCAGTTCTGGTTCATCAGCATGCTTAGATCATCATTTGTACCCTTATTGCAATTTCAAAAGCGTTCTTGCTGCTTCCTAGAATTGTCTGTTTTGAAATTCTGTTCTACCCACAGTTATCAGCAAACATTTTGGCCAGCCTCTTATGTCCATTTTCACTACTTCTGCTTCCAGACCTCTGAGGTTGCTTGTATTGCCTGAGTTAGGGAACCATGTCTGTTGAGTTCACCACAAATTCATTTTTGTGTGTGTGTGGTGGTTTTCTATTTATTTATTTATTTATTTTGGTTCTACCTAATTTGGGTATAACCTAGTAGTTGGTGATCTTGTATGGGTTTCTACCTCTCTCTGTATCTGTCTTTCTGTCCCTCCTTCCCCTGCCCTTATTTTTACCACTGTATCCCTACCACCACTGTCCTGATTTTGGTCCTTTTCACTACTCAAAGTCCTGTCAACAATGTCCTAACTGGCCTCCCTGCTTTTCACTTCACCCTCTCAAATCCATTTTTCACAGTAAGCAGGGTGTGTAAAACTCAAATCTGACTATATTCCTTTGTCGAAACCATTAAAATAACTCACCATCTCACCTAGAAAATCAAGACTTGGTGAACTTTTTTTTTTTTATAAAAAGGGCCAGATTGTAAATATTTTAGTCTTTGCAGGCCAGATGGTCTCTGCTGCAGCTACTCATTTTGTCCTTGTATCTGGAAAGCCATCATAGACAATCTTCATAAGCGAATAGATGTGGTTGTGTTCCAATATAACTTTATTTACAAAAACAGGTGATGGGCTGGATTTGGCTCATGGACTCTGTACAAGATGAATTTTAAGTCACCTAACAAGGCATTAAGCGCACTGCAGATTCTAATCCATTCTTCTATGCATACCTACCTCACAGCAGCCACAGTCTCACTTTTACACTGCATTTTTTAACTTCCTAATACTCTGGAGACATCAGTCTTTGCAGTTGCAGAGTTGTGTTGCAGCAATTTCTTTATGGATCTGCCTGCTTCTCTGGTCTTCTATGCCACAGTTATTTCTGTCTTGTAAATCCCTAGCTACTACATAGTAAGTTTTTTGAGAGCACATTTATATCCCATGCAGTTATTGCATACTCTTTGTGCAAAATAGGAAATTAATGTATTTATTTATTTGAATCCAGTCATAATTTAAGACCATGATTGAAAAAAATAATTTTATACAATATATTTCAACTTATTTAATTGATTTGTTTTAAATTCACAGAGACAAATAAAAAGTGGTGTGTTTTGGAAGGAGGTTTTTTGAGTTACTACGAAAATGATAAGTCTACCACACCTAATGGCACCATTAATATCAGTGAGGTTGTCTGCCTGGCTATACACAAAGAAGACTTCTATTTAAGTACCGGGTAGGTCTAACATTGAACAGTTAAGAGGTGAAAAGTATTTTCAGATATTTATCACACCAGGTAATAAGAGTTTTGTTATCAATTCAGTTCTTCAGTTGCTTCCCGTAGAAGGGCTTAATTGTCTCTTAATGCCTGCTCATTTTGCAACTTCTGTATGAGCCTTAGAGAATTCAATGAAAAGTAGGAAAATTAGAATATTAGACTAGGTAATATGAAAGGCTAACATGTTCCCAGCTAATCTTAAGAAAATTTATAACATTCTATTCTTGAACATTTTACTCCTGAAATTTTTATGATTTACTCATTTTTTAAAATAGTCACTCTAACTGCAAAGTTGATGCATTCTTTTAAGGAGAAACATTGTTAAAACAGACCACAAAGGAGACTATTCAATGGTGATTTTTTTACATTAAAATAAACAAATATTAAGTATATTTAAGAGCATATCAAAATACTAAATTCTTTAAAGATCTACTTTGGCATGTTAATTGTCTAAAAAAGTTGTAATTAAGAGTTAATTATTATTTAATATATTTGACTCACAAAATAGTTTAATGGGCTTTTTGTGAGGACATTTAGAAACAGACCTTCTGAGATCTTTGGTGTGAAAATTTCTTATCAAATTTTCTAATATAAATAATGAAAAAGTACACATATTAAAATCTAAAAAAAAATTACATAGGAGCATAGTATTTTAATAATTTTGTATGGTAAAGGGGGAAATTTGTAAAGCTATGCTATTTACATAAAATTACATCAAATATATTGACATTACATGAGTTACATGAACTAGTTGAGACAACTCTTGTTTTCTAGTAAATTTAATTGGATTTTTTTTTATGGGAACAAAATTGATTACTAGTTGGTTTGTTTTTGTTTAATCATAATAGTACTTTTATTCTAGGTGAATAATCATTTAAATGCGGCTCACCATGGAATGTTAAAATAAGTACATTCATTTTATTAGGTTGCTTAATTTTAAATACATTATAACCTAAAGTTAGTATTAACTTATGTCAACACATAAACATTCAAAAATGTAACATTCTTCGTGAAATATAACTGATACAGGTAGATGTGCAAGGAGAGCATCTACAGTGAGACAAGGTTAAAAATGATTGTTGCAGCCAGATTCTAAATTTCCTTAAATAGCATATTATAGAGTTTGAACTCAGTTATGTAGGCAATGAGGAGTTATGCAAATTTGTATTTTCAGAAGCTATCTGGAAGAAGTGGTAAGGAAGAGATGGAAAAGAGACTATAATTGATGAGAGTTTATCCAAAGGGAGAGATTATTAAAAAGAAAAGGAACAGTGACCTTGAGAGAATCTTATGGTTGAATTGATAAGATTAAATGACTGACTGACTGGATAAAGAATGGATGTTAATGAGAAGAATAAATAAAACTCCTTGGTTTTAAACTGTTTGATGAGGTAGATGGTGATGCTTTAAAATCAGGACATGAGAGGGATGCAACAGGTTTGGGCTAAGAAATGAGGAGAAAGAAGGAAATTTTAGCATAGGGTATTTTGAGTTTTTGAGGTAATAGGAGTGCATATACTTAGCATGTTTTAGGAAGTAGTTGGAGTTATGGATGAAGAACTCAGGACAGGAGATGTTAACTCCAATTTTATCTAATGTTAAGGAGATAAAATTTTGGGATAGAATGAGATGACTTAAGGAAAATTTGTGAAGTAAGACGAGAAGAGGGCTAGTTGGCGAACTGTTTGCACCATGTTTGCATTGAGCAGTTGGTCAGACTAAACCAAGAAGGAGTGGTTGGAGAGACAAGAGGAGACTGACGAGAGTGCTTTGCCATGTCAGACAACTGATGAAGTGTCTAGTGTGTCAGAAGTCATGTGGTAGAGTGACTTCAGTCATCAAAAGGATATTCCTTGTGTCTGATCCAGCATGTTCTCATTTAGATCACCAGAATAAAATGCAAACTATCAACAGAATAATACTGTAGGTAAATAGATTTTACTGCATTATCTCATTTTCCTAAGAAATTTAATGAACAGTTTGAACTTTGCATTGTCTTCCTAAGAGCCAAACATACGTAATCGATGGTATCTTTTTATTCTTGTGACCTGTAGGCCCATCTTTACCTTTGAGATCTATTTACCCTCAGAATGTGTGTTTTTATTTGGAGCTGAAACATCTCAAGCACAAAGAAAATGGACAGAGGCAATAGCCAAGGTATTTAAATCTTGTAATACTATACTAAATCCAAGGAGCCTTGGTGGCACAATGATTAAATGCTTGGCTGCTAACTGAAAGGTTTGCAGTTCAAACCCGCCAGCGACTCCAGGGGAGAAACACCTGACAATCTGCTTCTATGAAGATTATAGCCTAGGAAACCCTATGGGGCACCTCTACTCTGTTCTGTAGGGTTTCTGTGAGTCAGAATCAAGTAGACACACAACAACAACATCATAAACCAGAGAAAAGTCTTAACCTAGGGTCTATGAATGAGCTTTAGGGTTCCATGAAAATTTTATATAACATTCTGGTCTATACATCATTAGATTTTTAAAGGTCATTGTCAAAAGAGGTTAAGAGCTACTTTTCTAGAGCCTTTAGCAGAGATGAAATTAATGTAGGACTATGGAGAAATCAGTTTCAATTAAGAAAATCTTATGGTGATTAAGGTCTGTTCAATACTGTAGTCATTTCTGTTTGTGTCTTTTTATAGGCAGATGGTTTACACAGAGGGGAAAGAAATATATTCAATACAAGATATAAATTGAGAAATACATTGAAGGCTGAAATTTTAGAAAGATGTCACAAATCAACAAAGAGAATGCCTTCCTATTTCAATCCCCCCATATATACACGGACAAGAAAGATGGTTAAAAGGGCTCCTATTTGAAGATACATTATAGCTGTTCAGTTTTAAGACTAATAGCAAGTTTAGATAATTGTTTTGAAATTTAGGTTTATTTATAAATCTTTAAAATAGTTAAATAATTTTTTTATCCTCATGTATAAAAAAAGAAGAGATTTCCTATTTTCACTGTCTTTATTACCTTTCTGTATTTGTTTTAACAGCATTTTGTTCCCTTTGTTGCTGAAAACTTAACAGAAGCTGACTATGATTTGGTTGGTCAACTCTACTACAAAGACTGTCATGCCCTGGATCAGTGGAGAAAAGGCTGGTTTGCTATGGACAAATCTACTTTGCGCTTTTGCCTTCAAATGCAAGAAGCTCAGGAAGATAGAATGCACTTAAGAAGACTGCAAGAGCTAAGTAAGTTGTCTTCTTCCCCCAGGCCCAATCTTTGGTTCACAATTATTTATGGCATATGAAAATGGTAGTTTTTTACATAAAGTTATGATGGCTCACTCCTGAACATACGACTGAATAGTATTAATCTGCCTTTATAAGTATTTAGTGTAATATTCTTCTATCTATCTGTCCAATTCTATTCTGACACTAATTGTAGTGCAGTTCTTCTGACCCTAATTACCCAGAGTTAGGTCTAAATTTCATACATTAAGGGCACAGTCCTCCAGAGTGCCAAGTCTGCCCAGGATTTCAGACACCAGCTGCAAGTGTATGGGTTCCTAGGACCACCTGAAGCTTTGACCAACTAGCTACAAATTTGGGATTCCCGCTGCCCTTTTAGGTTCCAGAATTTTCTAGAATGACTCATAGAAGTCAGGACAGCCCTATGCGTATAAGTACAGTTTTGTGATAATGGATACAAATCAGGAACAGAATAAAGAAGAGATGCGTAGGGCGAGGTCTAGGAAGGTCCCAAATGAGGAGATTCTGTGTCCCTAGGGAGACATTATCTTTCTGTTTCATCAATGTCTGTCCAAGTGTGACACCATTCTTTCTAAGTTTCTAACCTCACTCTCTGGATAAAGGAGTTTAGTCTCCCAGGGCAGCTACTCCTCCTTAACACCTTCTGCCCAACAAAATGACATGTATTTTTCAGCTTTCTAACCCAGTGTCCACTGTTTGTACTGGGGTTTCATTACTTAGGCATGATTGAATAATTGACCATGTGACTGAACTCAGTCTCCAGCTGTCTCCACTTTTTGGAGATTGGGCTGATACCATATGGTGTGTGTTTTTGGCTTGGCTAGCCCTCATCCTGAGTCATCTCATTATCAGCAACTCTCAGGTATGGTCTGGAGACCTCTATGAATAATACAGACAATCCAAAACAAAACAAAACAAACCCTATGCCACTGAGTCGATTTTGACCCACAGTGACCCTATAAAACATAGGGTTTCCAAGGCTGTAATCTTTATGGAGGCAGACTGCCACATCTTTATCTCACAGAGCAGCTGGTAGTTTTGAACCACCGACCTTTTGGTTAGCAGCCAAGCATTTAACCACTGCACTACCAGGGCTCTTTAAAGACAATTCAATCCCTCAAAATTCCAAGGGTTCAGAAATTACCTCCTAGGAATCAGGGACAAAGACCCAATTCTTTGAGTAAAGTAATTCTTCATCCCACAGTTCTTTAAAAATATGTTTGTACTTTTCCCTTACCACCCCAGCAATCAGCACAATGGTTCAAAATGGGGAAAAATTGGATGTCCTGCTCTTAGTAGAAAAAGGGAGGTAAGTGATGAATTTTTGCTTTTTGTTCTTTATTGCAGCAACTCTGTGGGGTTCAATATTCTGGTTATCCTCTTGGGTGAGAGCCCATTATTTTTAAACCTGATGGGAATTTTCTGAATTTTATATACATACATATTTTTTTTCTCAGTAAACAGAGTATCCCAATGAAGTTTACTTATCTTTTATGATATACTCATCAGTGTGATCAATTACTGTATTTTTCCATAGACCTAGATCCTTTGGGACATTCACATACAAGTATTTGGGAGCACTTTGGTAATTGTAAATACATTTTCAATATAGGTAGGTAATGGTGAATATAAATAATATCCTCAATTAATTATGTATGTGGATCATCCATAGTTAAAAACTTGATTTTTGAAATTTATTCAGTAAATATTTATTAAGCATCTATTGTGCATCAGTTACTGTTATAGTTACTGGGGATTTAATGATAAATAAGACCGACAGGGTCCTTGATGTCATGAAATATATACAGTAGTGGGGGAAACAGATTATAAGCAGACAAAAATATAATTATGTAGTATTACGTCACTCTACATTAAATACTATGAAAAAATATATAAGCATGGTACAGAGAGAGAAAAAGTCTGATGGGAAAGTATTGTGTTTTAGATAGAGTGGCATGAGAGATATCCTTGATGAGAGGTCTGCATGGAGTGAAGAAGCAGACTATGCAGAAGTCTGGATAGAGCATTCCAGACACAGAGTAAAGTACATTCAAAAACTCTAAGACAGAATTGTGCTCAGTGTGTTCAACGTCTGCAAAGAAGCTCCTTTAGCTGGGGATATTCAAATGAGCAAGGGAATTGGAAGAAATGTCAGATTTCTTGGGTCAAATAGTATGTTACAGGTCATGATGTATAAGGATTTGAATTTTATTCTAAGAGTGATGGGAGGCCACTTAGTTTGAGAGCTAGAGAGTGACATAAGCTGACTTATGTTTTAAAAGGACTACTCTGGCTGCCAGATTAATAGACTTTCCTTATGGGACCTTTCCCCTAGGCAGCACTTGACACTTTTGACTATTCCTTACTTCTTGAAATACTCTCTTCCCGTGCTTAGTGATACCACTCTTCCTAAGCTTCTAACCTCACTCTCTGGATAAAGGAGTTTAGTCTCCCAGGGCAGCTACTCCTCCTTGATAACTTCCCCCAACAAAATAACATGTATTTTTCAGAGTTCTAACCCATGACTTCCTCCCTTACCATTCTATATACTCTCCCTAAGTGATTTCACCTTCTCCCTTTTATATACTAATAACTCCAAAATCTTTATCTCCACCTCTTTAACCTTTTTGTCCAGTTAGAATGCTGCTGCAGAGGCCAGGCAGAAGATGGCTTGTCTAAGGTCGTAGTGTTGAAGAGTGGCTGGATATACACCTACTCCTCACTTAGCAATTATCTCATTATCCAACATTTTGCATTTATGACAATACTAAAAAAATGTCCTATTTTATGCCTTAATGACATATACATCTAGCGGTAACAAATGCCAAGGCATGAGGCCAGAGGAGCGCTGACTGTGATGGTTAAGGTTATGTGTCAACTTGGCTGGGCCATTATTCTTAGTAGTTTGGTGGTTATGTAATGATGTAAGTTGGGATTTATGTAACAATGTAATTTTGCAGTTATGTAATGATGTAATTTTTATATGATGCCGATTTTCAAATAACAACCTGGTCTTTGGAACCTAACCATGTTGATAAGTGAGGAGTGGGTGTATTATGAAGGGAAAGCTGACAGGATCTGCTGATGGATTAGATGTAGGATGTGAGAGTCAAAGATGATGCCAAAGTTTTTGGCCTGAGCAGTTATTATGAATGGTAGTGCTGTTTTGTGAGAGAACAAATACATGGATAGTAGGGGTAGGGAATTATAACTTTAAGGGTAATGGATTAAGAGTTTGATTTTGGAAATAGTAACTTTGAATGTCTGTTTGATAACAGAGTGGAACTAGTGGCTAGCCAGTTGAATGTTCAGGTCTGGAATTAAGTGGTAAGGTTGCAGCTAGACATACAAATTTGGGATTCATGAGCATTTGGTGTTATTTAGTCAAGGAACTGACAGGTTGACCTCCAATATTTAGATGTCAGGAAGAAGAGAATGATCTAGCAAAGAAAAGTTGATCTTGCAGAACAATTAGGAAGGTACAGTTTCTTGAACAAGTTGGTTTTTCTTGATTTTTGTCAATTTCTTAAAAATCCCTTAGTTACACTGATTCAAATGTTTAGCTTTATAGTAGTGCCAGATCATTTGATATATATATATAGAGAGAGAGAGAGAGAAAGAAAGAGAGAGAAAGAAAGGTGTCTTCCTTAGTTATATTCCTTGCTGCTGACAAGGATAATGACTTTCAACAGGTATCTGAACCTGTCTTTTCTTCAGCTTCATGAGAGGACATCAGTAGCTTTAGACAGGCAGCATATTGCTGATTATATGCTTGCATCAGATTGTGTTTTTTAACTTCTTACAGGCCTAATTAGGATTATAGATTTTCATATATTTACGTCTGGGTTTATGATGGTTAATGATACTTTAGATTCTTATTTTGGTACCAGATAATAAAGATTTCACTGTACTATTAGTCAGAGTCCTGTTAATTATATGTTCAGAAATAACCAGTTGCTGTTGAGTTAATTCTGACTCATGGCAACCCCATATGTATCAGAGTAGAACTATACTCCGTAGGGTTTTCAATGATTTTTCAGAAGTAGATTGCCAGCTCTTTCTTCTGAGGCATCTCTGGGTAGATTTGAACCTCCAACCTTTTGGTTAGCAGCTGAGCACATTCACTGTTTGCACCACCTAGGAACTCCTCAGAAATAATAATGAGATAGCATTATGGCATTAAAGTATTAGCACAAATGCAGTTTCCGACTTACCTATTAATTTTTTTTTTTTTATTTTATTTTATTGTACTTCAGGTGAAGGCTTACAGAACAAATAGTTT